AGGGTCCCAGCCGGGCAGGTTGGGGATCTCTCCAGAGCAGGAGACTCCACAGCCTCTCTGGGCAGCTGCTCCAGGCTCTGCACCCTCACCCCAAAGAAGTTTCTCCTCCTGCTCAGGTGGCACCTCCTGGGTTCCAGTTGGTGCCCGTTGCCCCTTGTCCTGTCTCTGGGCACCACTGAGCAGAGTCTGGCCCCAGCCTCTTGGTATCTGCCCTTCAGCTCTTGGTCAGCACTGATCAGATCCCCTTAACGAGGGCTGGTGCTACCACAGCTCCACTTCCCCTCCTCTCTCCTTGCTCCTGGCAGCATCCTTCAGCAGCTACAGGCTCTCCCCAGGACAGACACTGCTGGGATGCTCCAAGAATCCCAGACTGGTTTGGGTTGAAGGGACCTTCCAAAGGCATCTGGTCCAACCCCCTGCAGGGACAGGGACATCTGCAGCTAGAGCAGGGTGCTCAGAGCCCCGGCCAACCTCCCCTGGAATGGTTCCAGGGATGGGGCAGCGACCACCTCTCTGGGCAGCCTGGGCCAGGGGCTCACCACCCTCAGTGTCAGAAAGCTCTTCCTTCTCTCTAGTCTGAATCTCCCTCTTTGAGTTTAAACCATCACCCCTTGTCCTGTCCCAACAGACCCTGCTCAGAAGTCTGTCCCATCTACTGAGGGCTGCTCAAACACAACAGACACAAGGGTTTCCCACTGCCTGATGCTGCCCCTTTGGTGTTCAGCCACATCCCTGCTCCAGCACTGAAGGCAGGCACACGCTGTCCAGAGACACATCTGCCCTGAATACACCCAGGCAGGGAGAGTTCCAACACCCCCTCCTGTGCCAGGCACCACGTGCCACCACCTCTTCTCTGTCAAACCCCACCAAAACCCAGCAGCTTGGCACAGAAGAGGGCCTGGACTACCCCAAAGGGTTAAGAGATGCTGCCCAGCACCACTTCAAAATCATGTGACACCACTTCCAAAATAAAACCTGTCACCAGCCCCAGGGCTCTTGGCTGATGCTCCTCCCTGCCTCCTGACTGCATCTCCTCCAGGCATGGACAAGTCCCTGCAGTCTCCAGCCTGAAGGCCACAAGGTGCTGTGGCTCTGGCTCAGTGTTGGAGCCAGTTAATGGCCACCAAAGCCCATCCTGAGAGATGCCAGGTGGCTTCTCCCTTGTGCTGACTTCTGTCACTCAGAGAAGGGACAAGCTTAGGGCTCTGAAAGCAAAACCTGCTTGTTTCAGCTCAGGCTGCAGGTCTTCTGCTCTGCCCCGGGCTGTCCCCTGGCATCAGGGCAGACAGAGCTCTGTGCCCCCTTCCTCCTGCCCCACGGCAACCTGGTGACCAGAGGCACTGTCCCTCCCACCCCAGCAGCTCGCTGGCAGGGGCTGCTGGAAGGAACAGTGTCCTCTGCCACTGCTGCTCAACCCAGGGAGAGCTCAAAGCTCCAGCCCCAGGCTAACAGCACATGTAGCCATCTCTTAAAAACCCTCCCAAAAAGAGGGGAGGGGTTTCCAAGCCGTGGAGATGTGTTGCTGGGGCAGTGGGGACCTGGCAGTGCTGGGGGATGGTTGGACTCCAGGATCTGAAAGGTCTCTTCCAACCAAAGCCATTCTGTGACTGTGACATGATTCTCCTCCTCTCTCCTGAGTCCACCCAGACCTGTTGCAGGTCCTACTCACTGCCAGAAATCCCCACTGCAGCACAGCCAAGCCAGCCCACGGTGCTGGAAACCAAAGCCACTTGTGAACATGAAGCCAAACAAGCTCCAGGGGAAGCCAGGACCTGGGGAAGGTGCCACCAGGGCTGTGCCTTCCCCACTGCCTGCCTTGGGGGCAGCACCTTACATGACACAAGGACAGATGGCAACCTGACACATTCCTTTGGGAAGAAGCCACAACTGCCTGAGCAAATGCCTCTGTCCTCCCAACACAGGCATGGATGAGCCACCAGCTTCCATCACCCCCTCCCTGGCTGTGGCTGGGCTGGCTGCAGTGGTGGCTGAGCAGATGGACCCCAATGAGTCTCTCTTCCTCCCTGCTGGGAAGATGAAGCTGCTCCTGAGGCTGGGGTGTGCTCCACAAGGAGCAGGAACAGACCCAGCCACGGTGCAGAAGCGACCACCCCTCAAACCCCCAGAGCACAGAAGGAACCACCTTCATCAGAGCAGATGTCCCCAGCCCAACTCTCTCCTGCTGGGCTCCCAGCAGAGGGGTTCCCCCCTGGGGGCATTGCTGGGGCTCCTCTGGCCCCACTCCTGGATCCCCTCCCTGGACCTGCTGCCCACTCATTCATAGCCACTCTCTCCTCCTCAGAAAGTGGGGGAGCCAGGCCCTGAAGGATTTTTTACACCATCTAATCCACCAGCCCAACCACAACAGATCCCTTGAGGACATCTTAGTGCTTGGGGTGTTCAGGGGTTACAAGCACTCCCACCACAGCAAAGCAGCAAACATCTACCAGCACACACAGCAAAGGTCAGCAGTCCTGCAAGCACTGATCCTGGCTCACCTCCTCCCAGGTCACAGGGGAGTGGGATGGTGTAGCCACAGCCCAGCCAGCTACAGGAGAGCCCAGAAGCCAGAGCAGCACCTGCACACACACACTGGGCTTTGCTCTGGCCTCCAGCAAAGCTTCTGACAGAAAACCTTTCCTTCTCTTTGGCTGCAGTTCCATCAAACCTGGGGGATCTTATTGATCCAGGCAGGAGGAGCAAGATACCAGCTCAGACTCCTGTCTCCATCTGTCAGACCTGGCAGCAAGAGGAGGGGCAGGAGAAGGCAGCACTGATGGCTGAAGGGCAGTGAGAGGTGCTGATGAGGAAGCCATGTCCCATGGCTGGAGCCAAGCACTGACACCACACGTCACCCTGCCCAGCTCACAGGGCCCAGAGCTCCCCAGAGCAGGAGCCCTCTGGGATCCTTCTGCCCAAGCCACTCCAGTCTCCTCACTGCTGTCCCCAGGGGCTGCAGCAATGTCACAAGCCAGGGCCTGATAACAGCAGCTGAAGGAGCTGGTGGAGAAGGCTGATGAGAGGTGACATTACCTACTCACCTCAGGGAGCCAGCAACAACAAAAGGCTCAAGAGTCTGTAGGAGAAACGATGACAATAGGGGGTGACTCTGCACCTTTGTTCAGAGGCTCTTACCCTGACTAACAACACTGAACCCCAGCACTCCTCTGCCAAGGTGTGGGTGCTACTGCCACACTACAGATGGGAACCAGAAGGCTGTCACCAAAGGGAGGACCTGGAGAAGAACCAGGAGCCTGGCTCCCAGTTGTGCCACACAAACCAGAGCTCTCTGGACCCCTCTGACCTGGGGCACAGCACAGCTGCCTGAGGACACCAGGCAGGCCAGGAATGAGTCTTAGTTTCAAACTCAGAAGGTCCTACAAGCACAAGGCATCACTCACCCCTAGTAGGCCCACAAAGGAACAGCAGGAGACCCTCACAGCACAGTCTGTGCTACAGGGGTCACTCCCCACAGGGATGAGTCCCTGACGTTGGCCAGGACTCTGAGCAACCTGCTCTAGTAGCAGATGTCCCTGCTCCCTGCAGAGGGTTTGATGAAATTACCTTGAAAGGCCCCTTCCAACCCAAACCACTCCATCATTCCATGAAAGAAGGAACAGCAAGGCTCAAATCTTCAGGTAGAGCTCAAAGCCAAAACACACCTTGATATCAGGGGACATAAAACACTACAGCAGCCACAGGTTTTTGCATCAGCAGTTGAATTTCCATGCCAGAGCAAACACCTTGGATCTGGGGTAAGGAGGATGTGGAAGGTGCTGGGACACTCCCCCTGCAGAGGGTTTTACAGAAGTGAGGTGGTCCCAGCTCCCAGGTACTGCTGCTGTTCCCTTGCACCTTTCACACCAACACGACCAATTGGGGATGATGAACCTCCTCTTGATGCAACATCACACTGAATTTTGTGCATAAAGCAGCCCAATTCCCACAAACATTTACAGTGACACTCTCTTCAAGAGCCTCGTCCCAAAACTGAAGCAGGAAAGAGAATGGGGAAGAAGCTAAGAACATACAGGAATATTTAGAGCAAAGAGCAACACAGAGTAGCCTGGGAGGAATCCCAGTGGTATTCCATGAGAGGGCAACTGGGCTCCCACAAGGGACTGGAAGTGGACTTCCTGGCTTTGGAGCACAGCAACATAACAGCACAATCCTCTTCAAGTCCCTGAGGAGGAAGAAAATCTCCCTTGTCCTAAGTCAGAGCATCTTTACTCTCCCCTGGCACAAGGGATGAGCAGTTTGCAGTGTTTCTTGCTGTAGTTCACCCACACTTCCCATTTGGGCAGCTCAACTTCCCCACTACAGAGCTGCACGCTTGGCTTTGACCTGTCCACACCAAAATCCTCCCAAAGCAGGGAAATTAATAGCATGGATAAAATAACAGGAAGAGTTAAAGTTCAAACAAACAGCACTGAAATACCAATGGCATTTACCAAGGGCTCACTCCGAGCATCACACCAGAGTTTTGACCTATACAGCAAGGAGTTTTTTTTTGTGTTTTAGTTTTTTGGTTCTTTAGAAAAAGAAAGGATCCCAATTTTAATATTTCAAACTTCACTACTGTAGAGTTAGTAAAGCCTTTGCACTGTCCCCTGTCCACACCATGCCAGTGGAGTGCCAAGGACTGGACCATCCTACGCAGGGGAAACCTGTGGACCTGCACTAGGATTTGTGGTTCCATGTGTTAAGATCTAGAAAGAGGAGGGAATAATAAAG